GTTCGTGGTCTGTGTCCAAAATAACAAAAATAGGGTTTAAAGGTTGAGTTTTAAAATAAAATTAAGATCCCGATTTTTATACCCTCCACCATTCTATGGAGGGTATATTAGATTTGCCATTCCGTTTGTAACTCCTCGAAATATTCATGATAGACCCTACAAAGTATATATACTTTCTGGATCAGCGTAAAATTCTAAGACGATCTAGCAATGACCGTGTGTCGGCCTGTCGATCCCTCTGTCTGTTGTAATCGAGCTATCTTTCGAACGAATTGAGATAGAAGCCTAAAATTTTGCATACATGTGTATTTTCCCAGTAGGCAGGTTAAGTTCGTAAATGGGCCATGTCGGTCCACATTTTCGTATGGCCCCCATATAACAGTACCTCTCGATATTCGGTATTCTCGTGATTTTAGGGACATTATTTACCGGAATTATTTCTAATTTCGTATTTAAAATTCGTAACAGGTGCTACAACCTATAGGAAAAAATTTCCTATGCAGGTCCACGTCTATGTATAGCCTCCATATAACGGTACCTCTCGATATTCGGTATTTTGATGATTTTAGCGACATTATTCGCCGGAATTGTTTCAAATTTGGCATTTGAAGTTCGTAATGGATACTACAGCCTAAGACAGAAAATTATCTGTGCAGGTCAATGTCTTCGTATAACCCCCATATAACGGTACCCCCCGCTATTCGGTATTTTGATGATTTTAGCGACATATTTAACGGAATCGTTTCAAATTTGGTATTTGAAATTCGTAATGGATACTACATCCTAAGTCAAAAAATGAGCCATTTAGGTCCACGTCTTCATATAGCCCCATATAACGGTACCTCCCGATATTCGGTATTTTGATGATTTTAGCGACATTATTTAACGGAATCGTTCCAAATTTGGCATTTGAAGTTTGTAATAGATACTGCAACATAAAACAGAAAATGGGCCATGTAGGTCCACGTCTTCGTGTAGCCCCCATATAACGGTACCCCCCGATATTCGGTATTTTGATGATTTTAGCGATATAATTTAACGGAATCTTTCCAAATTTGGTATTTGAAGTTCGTAATGGATACTACATCCTAAGTCAAGAAATGAGACATGTAGGTCCACGTCTTCATATAGTCCCCATATACCGTACCCCCCATATTCGGTATTTTGATGATTTTAGCTACATTATAAACAGATTTTTCTTCAAGTTTCGCATTTAAATATTGTAATAACTTATGACAAAAGTTGCCTGTGCAGGTCCACGTCGTCGTATAAGCATTTGGTATTTTTAAGATTTTTACAGAATTTTTAACAGATTTTATTTTTTTTTTTTTTTTTTTTTTTTTTTTTTTGGAAATTTCCAAATTTGTATCAAATAGTGGAGAGTATTTAAAGTTCGGCCCGGCCGAACTTACAGCTTTTTTACTGTTTTTTTTTTTTTTTTTTTTTTTTTTTGAATGATACCGTGCTTGCAACCTGTTATGAATAGGGAGGTTGTTTCTGTGCCCAATGTAAATAACCTCCATCGATTATGTTTTCTGATTCAATTATCGCCACTTAAGATAACATTAAAATATGCATTTCGTTTCAATGTAAACAACAACAACAACAATAACAAATTTCTCTTTTGTTGTAACGTTTTTTTTAATGACCGAACTTTTTCCCTACCACTGTTACTTTTCCTAGCTCACGTCTCCCGTCACCGGTGCTCATGCGCACTCTCACAACTGAGATCAAGTCACATTCTTGTGATCTTGTGACACGATTTTTTCTTGTTTTTGGCCAATGTCGACGACATGATTATTGTTGTTGTTGTTGCATTACATGTTTCGTTGAATCTTCTTCCTATGTTTTTTTGTTAACAATTTCGTTGTTGTTGTTCTTGTTTGTTTACTTTTACTTTATATGGCTTTATGACTGGAATGACCAGAAGACAGAGACACAGCCACAGACAGACGACGATCTGTTAACTGATTGACTGACGACTGCACCGCTCTTTGAGCCCCTGCTATTAAAAACAAGAACAAAAATGCAGCTAAGAAACCAAGTGGAACAGGTCCGGATTTCTTTTAGCTTTGTGTGTTGCACATGCGCGGTTTCACGATGCTTTCATAAAACTTGTACTAACGAAAGGGAAATAGAGTAGGATTATGTAGTGGACGTTGGAAATTTTCAATGGAAAATACAATGTACATTCCCTAGGGCCCTTTTTCTATTATTCATTAAATCCGAATATTTAACAGAAAAAATGTGTTCCACACCTTAAGCTCTCTTTACAAAAAGAAGTCATCCTAAAGCTCTTCAATGGACCGATTAATTGAAAGAAAGTTATCAGATCGCTAAAAACACCACTTTTTTACCCACATCCATATGGCTAGAGAGGGTGCGTCATCGAAATAACGATTTTAGACCCTAGGTCTCTTTGAACAAAATCCCTTTTTAGGACATTTGGAGGCGATCTAGCGATGTCCGTCCGTCTGTTAATCTGTCTGTCTGGTGCGCACGATAACACTCATAGTGAGTATCCGATTTGGGCCAAACTTGGTTCATCGTAATATTATCATCAAACTTAGATCGAGTTCGGAGATGGGCAATATCCATCCAATCCTTTTGGTACCTCCCCCACAAAATGTCAACATTTTCAAACGAAATTATTTACTGCACAGAAAGAGAAAGGATAATCCGATTTTGGTCAAACTTTGCAAATCCCAATATTTTTATCAATGATATGTCAGATACGAAAATTGACAATATCGGTCCACTCCATCAAGTACCTCCCCCTCCAAGGGTCTACATTTTGAAAAATCTCAACGCTTATAAAATGTGAACTAAGAGCTTTATTGCATTGAAATTTCGCACATCTCAATATTTCCAACAATTTTAGGTCTGGTATAAAGACGAGATAGGTCGGACCACTCCCTATGGTACCTCCCCCACAACGGGTCAAATTTTTTAATACTTATATCTCTCATAAAACACGAAATAAGCATTCGATTCTCTAAAAACTTCACATATTCAAATATTCTTATTAACACAATATCTGGTGTAAAGGTGCGATACATCGGCGCACTCTTTCCGGTACCTCCCCCACAAAGGGTCAAAATTTGAAAAAAAAATCTAACCGTTATAAAATGTGACATAAGGGCCCGATTGTCTTCAAACTTCGCACATCTCAATATTTCTAACATTTCTAGGTCTAGGTATAAAGATGAGATAGATTGGACCACTCCTTCTGGTACCTCCCCCACAACGAGTCAAATTTTTTAATACTTATACCTCTCATAAAACACGAAATAAGCATTCGATTCTCTTCAAATTTCGCATATCCAAATATTTTTATAAACACAATATCTGGTGTAAAAGTGCGAGGCATCGGCTAACTCCATCAAGTACCTCCCCCACAAAGGGTCAAAATTTGAAAAAAATCTACCCGTTATAAAATGTGAAAAAAGATCCCGATTGTCTTCAAATTTCACACATCTCAACATTTTTACCAACACAAGATCTGGTATAAGTAACGGATATAACGGAACACCCCTTCTGGTACCTCCCACACAAGAGGTCAAAATTTTGAATAACAATAAAGCTCATAAAACACGAAATAAGCATCCAATTACTTTCAAACTCTGCACATCCTAATATTTCTACCAACACAAGATCTGGTGTGAAGATGGGATATATCGGTCCCCTCCTTCTGGTATATCCCCCACAAAGGGTCATAATTTTGAATAACCAAACGATCATAAATTCAAAAAAAAAATACACGATTTTGTTCAAATTTCACACATTCTCATATTTTTACTAACACAAGTTCTGGTGTAAAAATGGTATATATCGGGGCAGTCCTTCTGATACCTCCCCCACAATGGGTCAAAATTTCGAATAATTAAAAGTCTCTAAAATGTGAAATAAGAGTTAGATTGTCTTTAAATTTCGCACAACTCAATATTTTTACAAACACAAGATCTGCTATAATTAACGAACATATCGGTCCACTCCTTCTGGTACCTCTCCCTCAAAGGTTCAAAATTCGGAATTATCACGAAGTACATAAAGAGGCGAAATGACCATCTGATTCCTTCCAAACTCGCTGCATCCAAATATTTCCATCAACACATTATTTGGTGTGAAGATGGACTATGTCAGCCTACACCTTCTTGTACCTCCCCCACGAGGGGTCAAAATGTTGAATAATTGTTTCTCTCTCATAAAATGAAAAAAAAAAAACACATCCAATTCTCTTCAAAATTTCACACATTCCAATATTTTCACTAACGCAAGATCTGGTGTGAATATGAAATATATCGGACTAACCCTTCTGGTACCTACCCCACAACGCGTCAAAATATTGAATATCCATGAAGCTCATAAAACGCGAAATTAACATCCGATTCCTTTCGGACTTGGCACATCTCAATAATTCTTTCAACAAAAGATCTGTTATAAAGTTGGTAAAGATCGGACCATTCCTTCTGGTACCTCCCCTACAAAGATTCACAATTTTGAATAACTAAAACGATCATAACATTCGAAATAAGCATGCGATTTTCTTCATTTCTCACACATGCCATAATTTCTACTAACAAAATATCTGCCATGAAGATGGTTATATCGGCCCAACCCTTAAGGTACTTTCCCAAAAAGGCTCAAAATTTTGAATATCCATGAAGCTCATAAAACGTGAAATTACCATTTGATTCCATTCAGACTTGGTACATCTCAATATTTCCATCAACCCAAGATCTGTTATAAAGATGGTAGAGTTCGGACAATTCCTTCGGGTACCTCACCCACATAAGGTTCAAGATTGTGAAAAACAAAACTCTCAAAGAAAGCGAAATAAGCATCCAATTCTCTAAAAATGTCAAACATAAAAATATTGTTGCTAACAAAAGATCTCTTGTGGAGATGCGAATCGTTTCTGATACCTCAAAAGGGTCACACTTTTCAAAACTTTTATCTGCCATAACTGTCATATGTTTATAACCAAAAAAGGAACTTACCTGGTAACTCTGGTTATCCTTCAACGATTTGTTGATGCGTCAAAATCAGCTGCAATCTGCAATAATGTGTAGTAGTTAGGCGTTAGTTATTATCCACAACTTTGTTTGAAAATAACAAAATATATATATTTTAATTTGATAAACATTTTATTTTTCAATATGATTTGTAATAAATTTTTGCATGTTCTCATTACAACTTCATTGTCATTTTTTTCACAATTTTCCTCTTTTGTCGTTTAGTCACAAATAAGTAATTATTTGTTTGTCAATTCGTAGATAGATAGCCACCTATAATTATAGTATTACTCCACTTATTATTAAATCCACATGTGGCATTTGATTTTTACAAAATTATTTGTTATAGTTTTGTATTTTTTTACAATTTTTTTTATTACATTTATTTGATTTATTCGGTTCTACTTGGTTTCATTTCGTTTTATGAGGCAACTCTCATTGTCTGTGTATTTAATAATGATCATTTACTCAATGAACGGACCAGTTACACAGGTGTTAATGGCAGAGAGAGAGAGAGAGAGAGAGGGTGGGAGAAGCAGTAATTTTGCATGAATATAAAAATCCAATTGGGCAAGGAGAAATGAGATTGCATGTATTGCACTCGCCAATGTCTGTTGTATTTTGTGAGCATCTCAAAAGAACAAGAGCACAACCGAGACTTAATATCTCCTTTACTTGGTTCCCCTTTTAAACACTCACTCACATCTTTGTTCTTTTAATGTAACAGCAATAGACAACATTGAAAGAACAAAGGTGTGTGTGCGCCTGTGTGTTTTGAGGGCGGCCAAGTGAAGCAGAGATTAAGTCTCTGTTGTGCTGTTGTTGTTCTGAGATGCTCACATAATAAAACGGACATTGGCGAGTGCAACTCGTGTACATTGATGGCCGAAGGCTTGCCCCCAGCCATTGAGAGACACACACGGCAATAACAACAAGTGTAGCATGTAATGGCAATTGCAAATTTCATTTTCGGTTTCTTTCATGTGTCCAAAAAACAAAATATGGGAGACAGAATTAAAGAGAGTAATGTCCCCTTGTTAAACAACGGGGAGAGCAATTTTTGGTTTGTTGTTGCTACAATTTACATGGATAGGCAGGCATCAATGATTTTTTTCAAGTTTAAACAAAATTGGCAAGGGATTTCTAATGAAATAACATGAAATCACACAATTAAATGTTAATTATTAAAATATCTTCGTTAATTACTCGCATTTTCTTTGGAGAAATACACTTTTTTCATTTAAAAATTAATCCAAAAAAAAACATTTTCCCTCAGGATCACTCTCTTTCCCTCTCCTTTGTAACAAAATGCCATTGAAATCCAATATAACAACAACAAAAACTGCAACACATTTTCCTCTTCTTTTGTGTGTCTGTTTACCTTTTCCAATTATGGCTCAATAAACTTTAGCCTGGACGTTCGTTGATTACTCCAACTACTCCAAACTCCACAATCAAGCCCAAAAGGCAAAGCAATAACAACAACCAATGTAACAACAATAACAAACACACGTAACCCGCGTCGATCAATTGTTAACCGTTTTACGTTCCACTTGCTGTCGTTTACAGGAAAGTAAAAAAAATTAAAACGAAACGTAGCGCGCCCGTAGTCGACAAACAAAACCACCGTTCAATTCGATTTTTTCAATTGGACTGATCTTAATTTTTTTCTCCGACTCTTGTCGTTGTCGTAGCGTCGTCGTAACTTATTTCTTCGTTTTTTTTTTTTTGTTTTTTTTTTTTCTCACTTCAGGTTTTCGAAACGCAACTTAGTATGAAACTTGCGCGACGTTCACAGACACCAAAGCTACGTTAATTTGTTTTATTTTGAATTGTTGTTATTTGATTTTATTTAAGAAAAACACTCACAACTTGTTTTGTTTCTTTTTATTTATTTATTCCACACAATAACGTTAACCGCTCAAAACAACCAACATCGACCAGCAGCGAAATCGTATTGACAATAAGCTCGTGTTATCTGTAGTTTTGGAGTCATCTTTGAAACAACTGCTGCTGCTGCTGTCGCTGTTATAGTGGCTGGCAGCAAAACCCCACTTGGTTTGCGGTGGCAGCGCAGCCAACGTCAACCACAACTATTCACATGAGGAATGAAATGGAATTGTGAACCAAATGAAACAGAGTATTGTGCGTGCCATGAAAGTCGGTTTGTTATGAATTGCATAGCCAAGCGATGCTCCAGTGTTGGCACGGCAATGGGGATGGGTAAATTTGGTACGAAAATTAAAGTTGGAGAATTATTCAATATTTCTCAGATATTCAAGAGAGGCGAATATTCACTTAGCACTAGTTTCAAATATTAAAAGGCTTCTAATAAGGGTGTTGAGGGTTTTTTAAACTCAAAGCCATATGGCCAGAGAGGATATATATCATTTGATACGGCCAAAGCGTGCCTCATCGATAGAGTCCGATAGTCATCAGATTTCACACATCCCAATAATTTTATTAACCCAAGGTCTGGTGTTAAAATGGACAATATCGGTCCACTCTTTCTGGTACCTCCACCACAAATGGTCGAAATTTTCAAAAATACATATCTTTTGCACGGAAAGAGAAAGGATCATCCGGTTTTGCTCGAAGTTTGCAAATTATAATATTTGCATCAGTTCTAGGTCAAGTGCTAAAATGGACAGTACCGGTCCACTCCATCAAGTACCTCCCCCACAAAGGGTCAAAATTTTGAATAATTACAGCTCTTATAAAATGTGATGTAAGGATCCGAACGTCTTCAAATTTCACACCTCCTAATATTTTCATAAATCCAAGATCTGGTGTTTAGATGGAATACATCGGTCCACTCCTTCTGGTACCTCCCCCACAAAGTGTCGAAATTTTGAATACCCATGAAACTCATAAAACGCCAAATTACCATCCGATTCCATTCAGACTTAGCACATCTCAATATTTCTATCAGCACAAGATCTGTTATAGAGATGGCAGAGATCGGACCAATTCTTTTGGTACCTCCCCCACAAAGGGTCAAAGTTTTGAATAACCAAAACGATCATGGAATACGAAATAAGCATCCGATTCTCTTTAAATTACACACATCATAATATTTTTATTAACCCAAGGTCAGGTGTGAAGATGGGATCCATTGGCCCAACCCTTTTAGCACCTTCTCCACAAAGGGTCAAAATTTTGAACATTCATGTAGCTCATAAAACGAAATCCAATTCCATTCCAGACATGGTGCATCTCAATATTTCCATCAACACATGATATGCTATAAATATGGTAGGGATCGGACCATTTATTCTGGTACCTTCCCCACAAAGAGTCGAAGTCTTGAATATCCAAAACAATTATAAAATCCGACATAAGCATTAGATTTGCCTTATATTTTACACATCACAATATTTTTGTTAACCGAAGATCTGGTGTGAAGATGGAATATTACGATCTACTACTTCTGGTACCTCCCCCACAACGGCGTCAACATTTTGAATATCTATGAAGCTCATAAAATGCGAAATTGATATCCGATTTCATTCAGACTTGGCACATCTCAATTTTTCTATCAACCCATGATCTGCTATAAAGATGGAAGAAATCGGACCATTTCTTCCGGTACCTCCCCCACAAAGGGTCAAGGTTTTGAATAACCAAAACAATTATAAAGTCCGAAATAAGCAACTGGATCTCTTCATATTTAACACATCCCATTATTTCTACTAACACAAGATCTGCTGTGAAAATCGGTCCACTTTTTCTGGTACCTCCCCTACAACGGGGTCAAAATTTTAAATATCTATGAAGCTCATTAGATGCGAAATTAACATCCGATTCCATTCAGACTTGGCATACCTCAATATTTTCATCAGCACTAGATCTGTTATAAAGATGGTAGAAATCGGACCATTTCTTCTGGCACCTCCCCCACATAGGGTTCAATATTTTGAAAAAAAAAAAACGCTCAAAGAAATCGAATTAAGCGTCCAACTCTCTTCAAATTTCACACATACAAATATTTTGCTAACGCAGGATCTGTTGTGAAGATAAATATATCTGCGAACCCCTTCTGGTACCTCACCCACAAAGGGTCACAATTTTCAATACTCTTATCTACCATAACTTGCGCAACAAGTCAGCGATTCTTTACAACTAAATATTTCTCTCAACCAAAAACCTGAGATTTATATGGTGATTTCGCATAAAATCGGATATAATTGTTCGATTTTCTTGCAATTTTGCCCATACCAATATTTTTATCTGTATAAGATGAAGCATGAAAATGGAATAATTCGGTCGACTATATCTGGTAACTAACACACTTTCACATTTTTCTAAAAATGATCACATAGTTCATATGAAGTGAAGAAAGCAGGCGATATAGTCCGAACATGGCACCTCGAAATATTTATATCATATTTATTTACGTACGATACGAAATGGACAAAATTACCAAATTTCTTCGGAACCTACTCCAAAGAAGGTCAACAATTTGAATAATCATAAGAGAAGTCAAAATATATTTAAATAAACCAATGGTGGCTGAGGTTATACATCTGTCGGGCAAAACTAACTGATACTTTATTACTTTTTTTTTTCGAATTTTCTCTCAAAATTCCACACCTCCATCGTTCACGGTACATATGTGTACCAAAACTCCCAAAACTAATATGAATTCTTTGTACGACCCATCACACAACCCAAACATGTTCCATCCCTCCACACATCGCCACATCAACAAACCGAATGAAGCAACAGTTGGTTGTTTACATTTCAAAATTGTTTGTTGTGATTCGCTGCGCTTTCCACACATACCAAACGATGGTTGTGGGCTTTAACTAGTTTTTGTTTCATTGTCATTACGTTCCTATGACGGAAATGCATATGTGAAGCTTTTATCAACAGAGCAACAAATAATAGAGAATGGAAAAGAAGGGCTGTTGTTAACAGAGATGAGTTAACATTAACAGTCGTGTATGGAAACAGTGCAAACTCGGTGATGACAGCTTTTAGCATGTATGTTAACGTATGAATGAGTGAGGATGAAAGAGATGAGGAGTAATTTAAAAAAAATCGGTATTTAACACAGAAAATTAAAATTTTCTTTGAAAAAAATGTACAAAATAAAAAATAATTGGAAAAAGGGATAAAAAAAGTACGGCAAAATAAATATTTTTTTTAAAATATTCAAAACAAAGTTAAAAACAGGTATTTTCAAAAATATTTTTAAAAATTACATAAAAACTTTTTGTAAAACAACCCAATTGGAACAGACAATCCTAACTTACGCTGAAAATAAATTATAATATAGGGTTAATACAAAATTCTGAAAAAAAAAATAAAAATATTTTTTACAAAAATCCACATTTATTGATTCCTTAAAAAATTAATCTTTACAAAATCCACGTTTATTGGCCATTAAAAAAATATCTAAAAAAATGCACGTTTATTGATATTTAAAATAATACTTTCTTTACAAAAATCTACGTTTATTAATCGTTAAAAAAATCATTTTTTTAAATCCAAGTTTATTAATCGTTAAAAAAATCATTTTTTTAAATCCAAGTTTATTGGTCTTTGAAATAATACTTTCTTTAAAAAATCCACGTTTATTAATCGTTGAAAAAATCATTTTTTTAAATCCACGTTTATTGGTCCTTGAAAAATAATTTTGGAAAAAAAATTATTGATCCTTATAAAAATAATTTTGAAAAAAAAAAAAAAAACAATTTTATTGATTCTTGAAAAATATGCTTTAAAAATCCATTTTTATTGGTCCTTGAAAATATATTCTTCAAACAAATCCACGTTTATTTGTCTTTTGATCCTTAAAAATATCCTTCATTTATTGGTCCTTAAAAATTTATTTGAAAAAAATACACGTTTGTTGGATCCTTGAAAAATATACTTTAAAATGAAAAAATTCACGTTTATTGGATCCTTGAAAAATATTCTCTGAAAAATCCACGTTTATTTGGTCCTTGAAAAAAATATTCTTTAAAAAATCCACGTTTATTTGGTCCTTGAAAAAAATATTCTTTAAAAAATCCACGTTTATTTGGTCCTTGAAAAAAATATTCTTTAAAAAATCCACGTTTATTTGGTCCTTGAAAAAAATATTCTTTAAAAAATCCACGTTTAATTGGTCCTTGAAAAAATATTCTTTAAAAATAAACGTTTATTTGGTCCTTGAAAAAAATATTCTTTAAAAAATCCACGTTTATTTGGTCCTTGAAAAAATATTCTTTAAAAAATCCACGTTTATTTGATCCTTGAAAAAATATTCTTGAAAAAAATCCACGTTTATTTGATCCTTGAAAAAATATTCTTTAAAAAATCCACGTTTATTTGATCCTTAAATAAATATTCTTTAAAAAAATCCACGTTTATTGGTCTTTGAAAAAAAATCTTTAAAAAATCCACGTTTTTTGGTCCTTGAAAAATATATTCTTTAAAAAATCCACGTTTATTTGGTCCTTGAAAAAAGTATTCTTTAAAAAATCCACTTTTTTTTGGTCCTTGAAAAAAATATTCTTTAAAAACTCCACGTTTATTTGGTCCTTGAAAAAAATATTATTTAAAAAATCCACGTTTATTGGTCCTTGAAAAATTAATCTTTAAAAAATCCACGTTTATTGGTCCTTGAAAAAATTAATCTTTAAAAAATCCACGTTTATTGGTCCTTGAAAAATTAATCTTTAAAAATCCACGTTTATTTGGTCCTTGAAAATATATTTTTTTTAAAAAATCCAATTTTATTTGTCCTTGAAAAATATTTTTTACAAAATCCAATTTTATTTGCCCTTAAAAAAATATTTTTTAAAAATCCAATTTTATTCGTCCTTAAAAACAATATTTTTTTTAAATCCACGTTTATTGGTCCATGAAAAAAAATATTCTTTAAAAAATCCACGTTTATTTGGTCCTTGGAAAAAATATTCTTTAAAAAAATCCACGTTTATTTGGTCCTTGGAAAAAATATTCTTTAAAAAATCCACGTTTATTTGGTCCTTGGAAAAAATATTCTTTAAAAAATCCACGTTATTTGGTCCTTGGAAAAAATATTCTTTAAAAAATCCACGTTTATTTGGTCCTTGGAAAAAATATTCTTTTCAAAATCCACGTTTATTTGGTCCTTGGAAAATATATTCTTTTAAAAAAAATCCACGTTTTTTTGGTCTTTGGAAAAAATATTCTTTTAAAAAATCCACGTTTATTTGGTCCTTGGAAAAAATATTATTTTAAAAAAAATCCACGTTTTTTTGGTCTTTGGAAAAAATATTCTTTAAAAAATCCACGTTTATTTGGTCCTTGGAAAAAATATTCTTTAAAAAATCCACGTATATTTGGTCCTTGGAAAAATATTCTTTAAAAATCCACGTATATTTGGTCCTTGGAAAAAATATTCTTTAAAAAATCCACGTTTATTTGGTCCTTGAAAAAAAAATATTCTTTAAAAAATCCACGTTTATTTGGTCCTTGAAAAAAAATATTCTTTAAAAAATCCACGTTTATTTGGATCCTTGAAAAAATATTCTTTAAAAATCCACGTTTATTTGGATCCTTGAAAAATATTCTTTAAAAAATCCACGTTTATTTGGTCCTTGGAAAAAATATTCTTTAAAAAATCCACGTTTATTTGGTCCTTGAAAAAAATATTCTTTAAAAAATCCACGTTTATTTGGTCCTTGAAAAAAATATTCTTTAAAAATCCACGTTTATTTGGATCCTTGAAAAAAATATTTTTAAAAAATCCACGTTTATTTGGTCCTTGGAAAAAATATTCTTTAAAAAATCCACGTTTATTTGGTCCTTGAAAAAAATAATCTTTAAAAAATCCACGTTTATTTGGTCCTTGAAAAATATAATCTTTAAAAAATCCACGTTTATTTGGTCCTTGAAAAAAAAATTAAAAAAAAACCACGTTTATTTGGTCCTTGAAAAAATTAATCTTTAAAAAATCCACGTTTATTTGTTCCTTGAAAAAAGTAATCTTTAAAAAATCCACGTTTATTTGGTTTTTGAAAAAAGTATTGTTTAAAGAATCCACGTTTATTTGGTTTTTGAAAAAAATATTGTTTAAAAAATCCACGTTTATTTGGTCCTTGAAAAAAAATATTCTTTAAAAAATCCACGTTAATTTGGTCCTTGAAAAAATTATTCTTTAAAAAATCCACGTTTATTTGGTCCTTGAAAAAAATATTCTTTAAAAAATCCACGTTTATTTGGTCCTTGAAAAAATATTCTATAAAAAATCCACGTTTATTTGGTCCTTGAAAAAAATATTCTTTAAAAATCCACGTTTATTTGGTCCTGAAAAAAATATTCTTCAAAAAATCCATGTTTATTGGTCCTTGAAAAAATATTCTTTAAAAAATCTACGTTTATTTGGTCCTTGAAAAAAATATTCTTTAAAAAATCCACGTTTATTTGGTCCTTGAAAAAATTATTCTTTAAAAAATCCACGTTTATTGGTACTTGAAAAAAATATGCTTTCAAAAATCGACGTTTATTTGATCCTTGAAAAAATATTCTTTAAAAATCCACGTTAATTTGATCCTTGAAAAAAATATTATTTAAAAATCCACGTTTATTTGGTCCTTGAAAAAATATTCTTTAAAAAATCCACGTTTGTTTGGACCTTGAAAAAAGTAATCTTTAAAAAATCCACGTTTATTTGGTCCTTGAAAAAAAATATTCTTTAAAAAATCCACGTTTATTTGGTCCTTGAAAAAAACTATTCCTTAAAAAATCCACGTTTGTTTGTCCTTTGGTCCTTGAAAAAAATATTCTTTAAAAAATCCACGTTTATTTGTCCTTTGGTGCTTGAAAAAAATATTCTTTAAAAAATCCACGTTTATTTGTCCTTTGGTCCTTGAAAAAAAATATTCTTTAAAAAATCCACGTTTATTTGTCCTTTGGTCCTTGAAAAAAATTTTCTTTAAAAAATCCACGTTTATTTGTCCTTTGGTCCTTGAAAAAAATATTCTTTAAAAATCCACATTTATTTGGTCCTTGAAAAAATATTTTTTAAAAAAAATTCACGTTTATTGTTTCTTGAAAAAATATTCTTTAAAAATCCACGTTTATTTGGTCCTTGAAAAAATATTGTTTATTTGTCCTTTGGCATGAGTATTGTCTCATATATGTAAGCTTTTTATTTGAGAGCTTTCAGATACAAAGCTTTGGTTTTGCATCAAAGCTTTCCTGTTATTTTGAGGTAGTTGGCAACTCTGTAAAACTTTCAAATTCAATTTTGACAGTTACAGTTCAAATATTTATTTTCCATCCAAGCTTCTACCCCAAAAATGTTTACCACCCAGCTGCAATACCAACAGGAGGACTGCTTTGCCAATGTGGTGCAGGATTTTCTCATCTGCACCACGATACACAAGGCCCGCCATTTGGGTGTTTTCCAGGGTGAAATCTATGTCCGGCTGACATTGGACAAATGGTCAAGGCATACCAAGTTTTTGCTAATTCAGAAAATCCCTACTTCAATGAGGTGAGTGGTGGCCAAGGGTCCTGAGGGACTCTCCTCGATATCCTTTTTCATTATCAATGATTTTTTCCCTAAGTATTTTGTGTTCGAATTGAAATGCACCTTGGCGGAACTGTTGCGCTTGACCATACGCTATGAGGTCAAACGGCATACGACATGTCGCCGAAATCCCACACTGGGTGAGCTGCTGGTGGACATGCAAAGCGTGTGGCACCAACGAAATCGTTGTTACTTCAAGAAATGGGGACGATTGGAGGCAGTCGTGGAGGAACAGGAATCCTCAAAGGGGAGAGGAGATCTGCCATCTAATGACCCCAAAGGCTATTTGCAAATTGATTTGGCCATTGTCTCGCAGGCCACAAATCCTCAGACCATTCTGAGGCCAGGTGAGGAGGATGAGGATACGATGAGCGTGACCACAAATGTTTGGCAAATTAATCAGGATTATGATAATATTGAGAGGTGGGGAAGGGGGGCAACCATTCGAAATTCCCAGGGGAAATATTGAAATTGAATCTGTTTTTTTTTTTTCAGGAATCTACTGGATAACATGGCAGCGGATGTGCAGTGCAATATTCTTTATAGTGTCAGATTTTATAGGGGAGTTATGGCCAAGAAGTCGGATTATTTGATACAAGTGAGGAAGAGTTTTGGAAATAATTTTTCCTGAATTAAATACCCTTCCCCTTTCCCCTCTTCCCAAAGTTCAGATTCCATCCCTTTAGAGGTAAATCGGCAATCGTCAAAAATTCCCAATTCCCGGTGTGGAATCAGGAAATCCATTTCTCTTGGATATATCCCTCGCTGGCCCAAACTCTCTTCCTACAGCTAATGGCCCACGAACAGCTGCAATGGAAATGCGTGGCCGAACAGGAAATACATTTTCAGGATATAGCATTTAAAGGTAGGGTGGTTGCATTATCCCTAAGAGAATTTTTATTTAAATAAAATGTCCTCCACTACCAGATAAACCTGCCCTGGGTCCCACCTTTATACACTTCTATGACAGCCTGAATTCCTCGAAATATATTGGCCGTGTTTTGATGGAAATTCGTTCGGAATGTTTGCAAACACCCCCACCACCTGGCGGAATTTAAATATCAAGTCCATACAACCCTTGGATGAGTCACGCCATTGGCAGGAGGAAACATTTGTGCTGGAATTTCTAGCTCTGCAAGGGGAGTTTGTTCATGGCAATTGCAGTAATTTGAAAATTTGATGGAAGATGGGAGGTGAGTAATATTTTCCTGAGGAACAAAAAAAAAATATCTTCAGATCCCAGAAAAAGTCAAACCTTTTTTCAAAAAATTATCAAAATCCTGGAATATTCTGGGATGAAATTTATAATCTGAGTGGAATAACCAGAGGGATAAAATGGTTAGTTAAATGCACCGAGGTCGACCTGCACTCAGAGTAAAAAAAGCTGTAAGTTCGGCTCGGCCGAATACCCTTTCATAGCAAATTTGGAAATTTCAAAGAAAAAAGCAAAAAAAAATGAAATTCGCTAAAATTCTGGTGCGATTTCAAAATTATCGAATATAGCCCTTATATTGGGTCTTTACGAAGACGTGGTACCTGTAGAAACTTCAAATACGAAATTTCAAAAATTTCGGTGAATATTGTACCTAAATCGTCAAAATACCGAATATAGGGAGGTACAGCTATATGAGGCCTATACCTGGACCTGCACAGACGATTTTCTGGCATAGACTGTAGTACCCATTACGAATTCTAAATACGAAAGTTGAAACAACTCCGGTGAATAATCTCCCTAACATCGTCAAAATATAGAATAACAGGAGTACCGTAATATATGGGCTATATGATATCTTGCAGGGGGTAAAGTGCTAAGAAAGAAACTCTAGTATAGATTTTTAGACAATTCCTTTGAAAAATGTACCTTAAAAGCATCAAAATACCGAATATCGAGGAGAAACCTGTTCAAAAGAATTAGTAAATATTTTCTGGTTTTTTTGGGCAACATTGGTGCACACATTTTCTTATATATAATGGAAATAGAGATTTCTGTTTTTTTTGTGACTTATAGTGAAATTTGTGTAGATAATTTCTTCTTTTAAGATTTTTTGCGTAAAATGAAATTAATGGTACTTTCATGTTTAAATTCGAAAAAAGAACGAGAAAATTTGATATAAAAAATAAGAATATTTTTCGCTTTTTTTTTTTTGTGTCAACATTGATGCACTTATTTTCTTGATATATAATGAAAATAGTGATTTCTTTTCTTTGGTGACTTACAGTGAAATTTGGTGCAGATTATTTCTCTTTTAAGACTTTTTGTCCAAAATGACATTTTATGTTACTTTCACACCTGAAGTTGAAAAAAGGCCGAGAAAAAAATGTATCAAAAATTAGAAAATATTTTCGCGTTTTTTTTTTTTTTTTTTGGCCAACATTGGTGCACATTTTTTTCTTGAATATAATGGAAATAGCGATTCTTTTCTTTGGTGACTTATGGTGAAATTTGGTGCAGATTATTTCCTCTTTTAAGACTTTTTGCCTAAAACGTAAATAAATGGTATTTTCATAGCTGAACTCGAAAAAAGACCGAGAAAAGAAAATTATCAAAAGTTTGAAAATATTTTCGCGGTTTTTGGTCCAAATTGGTGCATTTCTGTCTTGATAATAATGGAAATAGAGATTTCTTTTCTTTGGCGACTTATAATGAAATTTGGTGTAGATAATTTCTTCTTTTAAGATTTTTTACCTAAAACGAAATTTAATGGTACTTTCATGTTTTAATTCGAAAAAGAACGAGAAAATTTTGATAAAAAAAAATAAAAATATTTTCGTTTTTTTTGTGTCAACATTGATGCACTTATTTTCTTGATATATAATGGAAATAGAGATTTCTTTCTTGGGACTTATAGTGAAATTCGGTGCAGATTATTCTCTTTTTAAGATTTTTTACCTAAAATGAAATTTAATGCTATTTAATACCTAAACTTGAAAAAAGACCGAGAAAAATTTTATCAAAAAATTAGGAAATATTTTCGCGTTTTTTTTGGGCAACATTGGTGCAATTATTCTTGATATATAATGAAGATAGAGATTTCTTTTCTTTGGTGACTTATAGTGAAATTTGGTGCAGATATTTCCTCTTTTAAGAATTTTTGCCAAAAACGACATTTTATGTTACTTTCAGGTGCCAACTCGAAAAAAGTCAGAGAAAAAAATTATCAAAAATTAGAAAATATTTTCGGTTTTTTTTTGCCAACATTGGTGCACATATTTTATTGATATATAATGGAAATATAGATTTCTTTTCTTGGTAACTTATAGTGAAATTTGGTGTAGATTATTTCCTCTTTTAAGACTTTTTGTCTAAAAGACATTTTATGTTACTTCATGCTTGAATTCGAAAAAGAACGAGAAAATTTGATAAAAAACATTACGAAATATTATCGCGTTTTTGGGCAACATTGGTGCACTTTTTTCTTATATATAATGGAAATAGCGATCTTTTCTTGGGTGACTTACAGTGAAATTTGGTGTAGATTATTTCCTCTTTTAAGATTTTGTGTCTAAAACGAAAATTAATGGTACTTTAATACTATATTTGAAAATAGACCCAGACAAATTTATTAAAATTTAGAAATATTTTCGCGTTTTTGGGCCAACATGGGTGCACGTTTTTTCTTGATATAAAATAGAAAACAGAGATTTATTTTCTTTGGTGACTTATAGTGAAATTTGGTACAGATTATTTCCTCTTTAAGACTTTTGCCTTAAAACGAAATTTATGTTACTTTCAGGTGTCAACTCAAAAGAAGTCCGTGATAAAAAATGATAAAAAAAGTCATGAAGAAATATTTTCGAAATTTTTTCGAAATATTGATGCGAAAATATTTTGCATATAATTGAAATAGAGATTTCTGTTCTTTGGCGACTTATAGCAAAATTTGAAGAAGAATATTTCGTCTCTAATGTCATCCTTCTAAAATGATGATTTATTGGAGATTTTTGCACAAACTCACACAAAGTAAGACTTGAACCCTAAAATTGTTTTAATATATATGATTCCTGGCGTCTGGTAAGATTTAGACCCTTGATGTCTTCTGGGATAATAGTAGATTTTATGACGAACAATTTGTGGAATATTTCAATTTCTATAATCACGTTTGAGGGAGTTTTTGACCATATTTAAGAAAAGGACCAAAAAAAGACGCTTTAGTGACTCGCTCGAGAGTTAAAAATTTCGACCAAAATATGTTTCGAGTTTTTTCTGCATTATTGCCGAAGACTGTATTTCAAGGAATCTTAATGCGAAAGTTTCCAAAAGTGTGGAAGTAGAGTGAAATCCTCCACCCCTCTCCTATTTTAGTTATTTTTCGATGTTAACTCCAGCCATCAAATCATTCTTAACGACCTTTTTGTCTGTTTTTTTCAGAAACTGCTTCAAACTCCGTAGAATGTTTCCTCAAAACCATACTCCTGCAAAAAAGGTGAAAATTGCCAAACCTTTGAAATATTTTCGCCAAGAATCACCCTACAAGGCCATTACAATGCATCTGCAATACCAGACTATCGCCATAAATATGAAGGTGAGAAAATTATCAAGGAAATGATTCAACATATCAAAGAGGGAATGGAAAATTTTCGACAATTCAACTTTATACGGGCAGCAACAGCAGGCCCAGTTGAAAATATTAAGAGAATAGTTACAAGGCTAATGGATTTTATTAAGGGGGCCATGGAGTCGCGAAAGCTGGAATATCGTGGAAACAAAGAACCCCACACAGTGGGATGTGAAACGTTTGCTGTATTTGCGGGAGTATTTGTAAGTATTCTAAAAAAATCGGGGAAAAGTAAGATTTACTCTAAGTATAGGTATAAGGAACTGTTGATGGCGGGAAGGCATTAAAATAATGTTATAAAAATATACAGAAATAAGAGAGATCACTTTGATACCACTGTGGGACAAATTTAATCCTTCCAATAATTTCGGGAACAATCCTGCAGATTATGAAAGTAGAGCTTAGGAATAGAAGGCATGTGTATCAGCGTTTTGAAAGTTTACCTCGAAAAGTAACCAAAATAGAGGAGGCAAGTTCTCCCCTCAACAACACTTTTGGAAATTTCGAATTAATATTCCTTGGAATTCATTGATTCTTGGTATATAGGACTTTGGCAATATTGCAGATACAAATACGAGGAATATTTTAGTGAAAAATTTTAACCCTCAAGAGAGTCAACAAAGGGGTCTTTTTGGTCCATATTTAAAAATATGGTGAAAAACTACATCGTAGCAAATCAAAATATTCCACAAAATTATTTGTCATGAAATTTATATAGGTCCTAGAAGACGTCAAAAGTCTAATGTTACCTAGCGCCAGGAATTTAAAATATTTAATTAGCATTTTAAGGTTTAGCCTTACTTTGTGTGAATTTATGCAAAATTCTCCAACAAACCAACATTTTAGAGAAATGAAGTTAAAGACAAAAATATTCTCCATAAAATTTCACTGTAAGTCACCAAAGAGTAGAATCTGTTTCCACTCTATACAAAATAATATTAGTATCAATATTCCCACAAAAAAACGCGAAAATTTCCTAATGTTTTTTCGTTGAATTTTCAATTGAGGCATGAAAGTAACATAAAACTTTATTTTAGACAAAAAATCTTAAAGGAGGAAAAATCTACACCAAATTTTAATATAAGTCTCAAAAGAAAATAAATCGCTATTTCAAGGCGTATCAAAAATATGTGCAAAAAATATAGGCCAAAAAACGCAGAAATATTCCCTGATTATTTGATCATTTTTTCTCAACGTTTTTTCAAGTCGAGACTGAAAGTAACATAAAATTTCATTTTAGACATAAAATCTTAATAGAAGAAATAATCTACATCAAATTTCACTATGAGTCCCAAAAAAAGAAATCGCTTTTTCCAATCAGAAAAATGTGTGCAACAATATTGCCCAAAAAACGCGAAAATATTCCCTAATGTTTGATCATTTATTTCTCGCTTTTTTCAAATTCAGGTATGAAAGTA